AATAATGTCATTGTGCAAATAAAAAAGGAATGATATGTACATGATAATACATATCGACAATCAAAATTTACGACCGGCGAAACATTTTCTCTCTTCATGTTGCAAGTTCTTTGAAGATAATTCGTCCTGACGCAAAATCGAATGGTTTCTTTGCACTGTCGTTCTGCTTCGACGCTTGCGTCAACGGATATATTCTACCATATTTTTGATCTACTCGTGTAATCACAACTTGCAGATGACTGAGAATCTAAAACTTGTTACCACACTTCATATTTCATAGAGTATGTCGATTTAACGACTAGTTTAATCATCACTCCAACAGCCTTAAATTGCAATTCTCATCTATCACTTATCTAACCACTTTTGTAGGTAAAACTGTTTGTTATTCATTATGATTATGAGTCTTGGCATCAACATTGTGTTGTAAGCAAATAATTCCTTATTATCCAAAATTATAGCGCCCCGCCTGCATTCAATATAATGCATTTGGTAAGATCAATAAACCCAAATGGACTATTGACTATAACGGTATTGTGTCAAATCATTTATTGTGCTTCCCATATACAGTACGGCACGGATGGATTTTCGTATGTGTAACATAAATACTGCAAATCGATTATTATTCTGGCAAAAACCATTGCGGTTTACATGGCTATGGTAAATACCTTACTAACACGAACAATACCCGCAAATTTGAGTACAGTAACAGTACAAGTATCCGGCACGCAGATGAGATGACTTGCGACAACTAGCACCCATTATGCAACTACTGCATCATCTAGGTTACCAGTAGGGATTGAACAGTTTATAGTATACTTTTGATGTCAAAATGACGTGATTACTAACCTTTCCAAGGTAAATTATTAATTGATGAGCAACGCCTGAAAATCTAATTAAATGTTCATTATTTTATATGGTTACTTATTTGTAACCATTCTATCTTCTCTGATATAGACGACGACGGATCATATGTGACTAAACTTGATTCTTGAGAAGCTAATATACCCTTGACAACCATGAAGCTTTTCATTCGAAACTCCATTGCATTGCTAGGTTGTTGTCTTGTGCTAGTTGTTCTTTGCAATTGGAATATACAAAGTAAGTTAAGCCAAGAATTGAATTAAAAGGGATTTGATAAAACATAAAGCGACTATTAATACCATATAATCTTTCAAGGTCAACTAGCAACAGCAGCAGCAGAAACAGAAAGAATGACACAGATAACATTGCCAACAACAACAACATCAGCAGCAGCAACAACATCAGCAGCAGCAACAACAGCAACAACAGCAACAACAGCAACAACAGCAACAACAGCAACAACGGTTCAATCGATTCCTCCCATAAATAACACATTTACGATTGTATCAGGTGCAAGCGCTAACCATTTCTGCGCAGTCCACGCATGGCTCTATCGCACGTACACCGCCATTAATCTCGAATATCCTTCAAATGTTCCTCGTCCGAGGATCGTTATCTATGATTTTGGTCTATACGGATGGCAAATCTCACTCCTCAATTCGCTCAAATCAGCCGGCTTCCTGACCGAACTGCGCAAGTTCGACTACTCGAAATACCCAGACTTTTGGGATATAAGAATCCATAAGGGAGAATATGGCTGGAAAGTGGGCGCTTTGTCGGAAATAGTTCGAGACTTTCCGGGAATAGTAGTGTGGCTGGACTCGGGCTCATTAATGAGAACACCTTTTTTGCGGAATATCGAAAATCTGCTAGTCAAGGATAAGTGTATCGCGTCTCCCCGATCTGCTGCAACTCTCTTCGTATGGACTCACCCTGGTATGTACGACTATTATGGCGTGCCTCAACCGGAGGAATTTCGTGACGTTGAGAACTGTAGTTCAGGGGTGCTCGTTTTCAATACTCACACAGCTGGTAAACTACTGGAAGATTGGCTGGACTGTGCTCTTCACAAAGACTGCATCGCACCTCCAGGATCAAGCAGGAAAAATCATCGTCAAGATCAGTCAGCATTTACGTATCTTTCTGCAAGAGAAGGATGTTTTTGTAATTTGACCGCAGCCGAGTTTAATGTAATGAATCATATGGATTACCAGTGTGCAGAGAACGTAGTTCGCTTTGAGCAGCTGAATTCTGTACCGTGGAATATTACTGAATACGATAGGCTGCGAATGAAAAAGACTAAAAGCAGACGGAGGGGACCTTGGTGGGATTTGTTGTGGGAAGTAAAACCTTGAACAAACCGATGGTTTTTTTAAAAAAATGGCGCCTTATTCGAAATTCAGTATTTCGAATTGGTATCTCTTAATTACATCTTCATAAACACAATCGTAGCCTATCTCCAAGAAACATAGCCCGATTTGCCATATACGGGCAATTTATTTATCGTTCATGTTTAATCTCTAATTATTTTGACACTTGCATTGATTGGACTGTTAAGTGATTTTACAATAATTATGCATTAATGCATATGGTCTACTTTAATAAATTATTTATTGTCGCGGCTGATGCTGATAATAGCGTCATCGTCATCAATCACAATCATTGGTCGAGATCAAGTGCCGTCATCACTTTCTAATAATCCCCAGTTGGTAGCCAGAAATCGTAAGTATATTTGCATCCCAGTTCTTTATTAATCCACCAGGTTTTTGCCACCATGCTCGAAATAAATGAGGAACCTCATATGAACCAGGAATATACAATATGCTGGGTAATCGATGAAACAAAAAATTGAAGCAATGATTATTTGGTTTGTAGTAGTCAATGTGGTAATGAAGAAACAAGAGAATTTGCTTTATTGAAAGAGAAGAAAGATTATTTTGATGCTGGCGATGGTAAATTTCGGACTTGTCTCTTCAATTGTTGACTGAGAAACTAGCTGCTTAAATTTAGGTTTGGCAGCTGGAAAACGTTATTGCAGGATATATCACGATGAACAAAGTTTCCATTATGTAATCTGGCTAAGCCAATGTGCACACACTTTACCGTTTATCGTAGCAAGGCAAACAATTCGTCCTCAGTTTTCAGTTGAGAAGAAATGTCTCGAGTTTTCATTAAAGCTTTCATTCTTCATCAAAGGTTACAGGTAATTTTTGAAGAAGCAGTACGTTAATAAGAGATTGAATATTGTTCACTTGAGTTGGAATTAATGAGTTGGAATTACTTCGAATGTTTGTAAGAGATCAAACTACTCTTATCAACTAGATATAAGTATCTTGTAAACCATACCACGGAAACTTGACTACGTGTCAGCAGTTTTGCGGCCGTTATAATGCAGTCAGGCAATAATGTTATCGTATAATTATGATGAACACCCTTGGACTGAAAGACAATGAGTATTGGTGTGGATAATTCCACCAATAAAATTGCATTACGTGACCGACCTTGAGTAAATTGTATTCTGTGTATAGTTAGGACCCGTTACTTTCATGCATACAATTAAGGAAACGTGTTAAATAGAAGTTGACCAATTGTCTACATCACACGATGCAAGTAAAGTGATCAATAATATGAATGCACTCCTTTATCCCGTGGGTTATAAGAATCTTATATAAACGGTTGACGGGTGAATTTTCAGGTTTTTATCATTGAACGTCGACATTAGCTACTCCCAAAGTAAATCAAAACGCGCATTCTGTCAATTGATAAAATAATCTAGGTTAAAAGTTGACAGAGCGGTTTTTTCGTAAGACCTATGAAGCTATCCTAAATGCTGCAAAATTGGGTAAAGTAGTGGAAGACATTTTTTGACTTTTGCAAAAATCTGGACTATGAAATGTAAATTTCTCGAATTTGTTTTTTTTTAATATTGTAATTCACATACTGATAATATTTTCATTCTTTGTCTCTTTTTAAAAACTTTATCTTAATAGCCACGCCCATTCTTACATTATTAATTTGAGTAATAACGACATCAACACCGATACGGAATGGAACAAATTAACGAAGAATCGAATTGGAGTTCCGTCCATCCCGCATGATATCGTAACGGAGCTAGCAAAATACGGAAGCAAATTTTTAGAAAAATTGCGTGTAAAAGTAATGAGGTCGTATCTTAATGAAGGAGAAGAATATAACGCCTGCGTGCATTACGAATTCAAATGGCCATACGAACTTTTTGTAATTTGTACGAAACGCAGATGCTCCCTAACCAAAGACCAAAACGATACCGTTATACTATTCGTAATGCTATAAATACACAACTATTAAATAAGAATTACAACGTTTCTAATTTAACCGCTACTCTTAATGGTCTATTGATATATATGCTGGAACGAAAAAACGCTGTTTATACATAAATGTTTAATACCCGTTATATATTACATCGTTTTTTGCCGTTACATTAATATTTTTCTTTCTATGCAATGCTCTGATTGGATTTTCATCAAGAGTATCCGCATGTCTCTATGATTCCAATACTCTATTAACGTTCTTTTTTTCACTGAAAAAAAAATAACATTTAAACAATATAATATAATAAATTCATTTTAACGTAATGCATAAATCAGTATACCATGATAATAAAACGTGTCTATGTCTTTTACTCTACTTCATATCACTCGATCTCAAATTTTGCTGCTGGGTTTAACTTTCTGTCTATAGTCTTTTGAAAAGTAGAGGTTTCCTTTATGGGTTATAAAGCGGAGCAGATCTCTCACACCTCTACTCGTTAGAAGAGACCGAATTTTATCAATTTAGCATTTTAGGTGTAATTGTAGGTTTCTTCGACGCAAACACGCTGTCTTTCAACAATTTACTCTTAATTCATATTACATGTTTTGTTTATCGTTTTATTTAATCCGCTACACGTATTCGTATATTACGAAGTTTCGATAAAAGTCGCCCTATTTGCCATGTTATAACGTAGTAGTCATTTAAATAAATATTTATTTTATTTAAGCTCGGCTCAACTTTATCGTGGTCTCGATCGGTTCTTCTTTGTTATTATTTATATTTTTGTACTTTCAAGAAATGCATAGTGATTATCTTTTACATTAACAGTGCAGGCAATAATAACTATTAATGATATTAACTTACGTAATCCTAAATCGATAGGCTTAATACAAATAAATAATTATACAAGGTGGTTTGACACACACAGACCAATCTCCATCTGTTTGCATCTCATGTATCCAATGCCTCAACACGCAGACTAACCTCATATAAGTCGGTTATATTCTTCTGTGACGATATCTGATCCCTTATAAACGTTTCGATTGAAGGAACGCGATTCAGCCGGTAAGTAACATTTTGATACGACGTCATCTGCCGAACTATCTCGGCTACTTTCACACGTTTGGAAAAGTTGATCAGATTGGTCTTTTTAAGCAAATCTGGGCTACTACCAGCAATAAAGTCCAAATCCGTAAGATGGACAGCTAAAAATGAGAGAGAAATTCAGTATAATGCCGGATGGTACCGTACGTGTCGTCATAACATAAACTTTTGTTCTTTCATCTTACCTAAGAATGGCACAACAGGCGGATTGACGCTGTGCAACTTTTCCCGATATCTCACAAAGTTCCTTGATGGTGCCACACTTTGCGTCAATTTCTCCAATGTTTGTACTGACTTGCTATTGACATGTTCCCAAGTCTTTTTCAAGCGATGAATAGGAGCTGAATTTAAGGCCATTACAATAGCAGCCATCGAATTCAAATTGTTCAACTGCCAGCATGCATCCGCAACAGCTATGTAATGTTTTATCCAGTTACCGCGAACCTTGGGTTCTTGCTGCTGTAGAATTGATCCTACTGTCCAGAATGCAATCTGCAAAGGACATGTGTATGGTAATAGAATGTGTTAGAAAGATGCCAAAGCATTGTAGATTAAAAATCACATTTATACGCTCGCTTACCTGGTTGCTAAAATTAATCATAACGCTAATACTTCCTTCAGTATGAGAGCTGTCGTCGCCATTATTATTATCATCACCATCATTACTATCATCATTATCATTGTCATTATTGTTATTATTACCGCTGTTACTATTATTATCATTAGTACTATTGCTACTACTATTACTGCTGCTGCTGCTGATGTTGTTGTTGTTGTTGTTGTTGTTGTTGTTGTTGTTGTTGTTGTTGTTGTTGTTATTGTTATTGTCATTAATGACATTACTACCGTTAATACTGTTACTTGAATCATCATTCTTCTGCCAAACTCGCCGCATCCATTCATAAGATCCAATTTGACCGAAAAAATGGCTATCAATGAGGGTCAATTGTCTCGCTAGTTCAATTGGTTCAATCTCGAGAAACTCCAAGTTCTTCATCTTTCTGGGCAATATCGGAGGTGGAGGTTGAATAGAATCGTTTGGAACCAAATCCTTAAAGTTATCTTTTGGTTGCTTTTGCTAATAGAGAATGTGAAATTCATAGTTTCAATTAATTCGATCTCTAGACAATATCTATTACAAAGAAACGTCCTGCCCTCTCCCATCATCGCACCAACCAGATTGCGCATACCTTCCTCTCGATCATCTGCAAGAGACAGTTCCCAGCAACTTTCATATGAGTAAGCATAACGTTCCTAACAAAATCTTGCAACTGCGCAAGGCATTCTAAATCTTCCGAATCGCGATAATGATGCCCCAACCATGTCTTCATTATATTAAATACTCTCAACCTAATCGGCGTCTGCTTCTTCTCCTGCCACACTTCCAACTCTTCAGCAGTCAGTCCGTAAGGGGAGGAAATCATAAACCTTTTCATTAGAAGTTCAAGAAACTCTTTCGTTGTCGTAAACGTTCTATATGTTAACAAGAATGTCAATGTGATGTTTGAATCGTGTACATCGTGAACGGTGAGTAATTCTATGAGAGCGTTTAATGAAGCACCCTTTACAGATCCTTCAAAGGAGAATACTATCTCTGATGGGTGATAATCATAGTCTAGGTAGCTCGGCCCATCACCCCGTTGACGACCAAAGGTTGGTGGAAGAGGTATGTCGGTAGAGGAAATCGACGAATGACTTATGTGATGCGATGGGCGGCCCGGATAAGGTGGACAACGAGCATTCGAGCGAGGGTAGTTGACAGAGGATGAATAAGACTGAATGAAAGTGCGAGATAAAATGACAAATGTTAGCGAGAATTAGTGATCAAGGTTTATGGAATGCGTCAAGCATCGAGCATTATGTGAGGTTGATCTCAACAAGGAGAAATGGTAATATGTCCATATTCAAATTTTGTTCACACTGCCACTTTTATCGATCAACTCTCTTACCTCAATGTCACTAACAACTGCCACAAATCTACTCGGGAAACCCCCCTGCATTCCATTATGTAGTCCTTCCCACCATCCATTATCAGACTGCGATAATACTTGTATTATATCATCCTTGTTAAATGTCAATGCAGTTGGGTCGCTTGAGCTAAAGTCATATAATGCCCGAACGAAAAGGAGCGGTGTGGCCATTCGAATTAGATGAATTCAGTAGAACGATACGAGATAAACGTAAAGAAAGGGAGGATTGGTCTGGGCGGCAAAAATGGAAAACTGAATGTAATATTACCATTAGGGTCAATTATTAGGATTAAGGAAAAATGTTATACGGTTTAGTCGGGAATGGGATGACAACATTTGTCGTACAGTTTTCTAATTGGCATGTCCACCGTGGGGGGGTGTTTACTGATAACGGCTATTGCTGTATCGAGGGGAACGAATGAACTTGCAGTGAGGAAGAAAGCACGGTGAAGACGAATAGTTATCGTGAGAATGTGTTATGGATGAATTGTTTTAGAGTGACCAACGAACTTAACAAGTAATAAAATGGGAAGGTTCGTATGTCTGAAAAGTTTATGGTCTGGAAAGACAGTCTTTTCAGTAAGGTCTGTATCTTGATTCGAAGCGAACGTTCTTTAGAACAGAACCTTATTGGTACAGATGTCAAATGTGCAGATGTTAAAATTAAGATTTTTGACGGAACTTCTTTTTTCGGTACGACTGTGTATAAACAAACCGGATTCCCCCGCAAATTACTACGCCAATGAACCAGAAAAAGAAAATCTTTCAATAAAAAACAAGACGATAATTCGCAATCACATCAAACAGAATATTGTGCATTCGGTAAGGACGATCCAGAATGTAAATTATTCCGAATAAGGCAATATCGTCACCCGGTCTTTATTGTTATTTTGTATTGTGTATCACCTAATAATAATAACATCTTATTAATCATGACTGTAATTATCGGGGTTGCCCCGAGCGAATTGAGTTTTATTTTACGCGGTACTTGTCGGCTTCCATGCTTTGGCCGTTCCATCGACGCTCGTACTTATCACTAGTGGTTTTCTAGGATGATATGCGACACTTGTCACTATTTTATCGTGGGCCTTGACCTTAGTCAACAACGTCGCCTAAAGCACATAAAAAAAGTCAGCACAATAGCATTGTCAAGCCAATTACTGTTATCCACCTTCTCATACGCACTTCAACCAAGTCCCAGTAGTATATATATCCATCTTCACTGCCGCTTATGACTTGTGAATCGTCAGTCGATAAACATGAAGTAATTTTGTATGTTGTATTCTGATGACCGCGAAACCTGTAAAATATACGTAAAGAACTGTCAGACGGAGAATAAACTTGTACGCAGAGGATATTTTCTGCTCCCCAGTCTTGTGTTTTGCAATATCACGTTGAATGGTCATGGTAGTCTTATAGTTAGTATTGGTATCAACTCACGAATTCAATAGGCTGCCGTTATCTTTATCCATTAGACGTATTACGCCATCCAGCGAACTGACTAGAATGCAATTACCATCCCCAGAAAAGCGAACTGACGTTATCGGATCTAATACAGAGTCATTCATTGACAATTAACATTACGTTTCGTTGGTCAAAACCTTATAACGACAATCTACCTATAACTCGCTATACCCACGTGATATCATATCGATAGTCAGCGAGCCCATTCGAAGATCATATACTCTTATATTCCCGTCTACGGATCTTGTATTAAGGATCGTTAGCCAACATATCATAATAAAATAAGACACAGTACTATCCATATGTGTTACCCAGTCAGTATCTCGTACTGTGATACTTGTAATGACATCACACCATCCTTTGCTTCCTCCAGGATTTGAATCGGAAAACGATTGTTTGATCTGGTATAAAATAGAAAGATAATAAGGGGAATTGTGGGGCAAATGCCGGATGCGAAGAAAGAAAGAACGATCGTCTAAGATAAATACTACCTACAGTCCCATATTCTTACCGTTGTATCATACGATCCTACAGTTATGAAAAACGTGTATAACGTTGAATGTAAGATGCCAGGTAAAAACGTCCAAAATACTTTCATACCACTCACCACTCACGAGAACAGTTCCTTCTGTATTGAATGCAACAGCATTAATACGCTGATCAAGTTATATGAAAATTTATTATCGTTATTATGTTATATTGTTGCTTTCAATAATCTCTTTCAAACATACCTGACCATGTCCATCGAATCTTCTTATTGTTCTTCCAGTGCCGACATCCCATAAAAACACTTGTTTGTCGCTTCCACACGAAGCAAATCTTGAATTATCATGGGCACTTGTGTACATAGCTGTATTAGTTACGCTGGGCTGATTCTAACATCCCAATGACTCGGATAAGGTACACACACGCATATTCCAAGTACTTCTTTTCCGTGTCCTTCATAAGTCTTGATACAAATTCCGGCTTCTGGATTCCATAATTTAATTGTTCTATCATGACTTCCTGATAGCGCATATTCTCCTGACGAGTTGAAAGTGACATAATTTACCGGCGCTGAGTGACCTTTGAATGTTATAGAACACGACTCGGGAATGGGAAGCGAAGTAGTCATTTTTGCGACAGTTGTGTATGTTTATTCGCACGATTTTTTTTAAACCGCCCGCAAAAATTCAGGGGCTGAATTGTGCTGACGCAGGTAAGAGGCTGGTTACCTAATTTGACGATATCCGAACACTCAAACCTTATTTTCCTTATGCTTAATACTTAATACAGAATTACATCTATCTATGATTATTTAATGACGCAATCCGTCGCGTGATTTCTGCTCAGTGGTACAAACAGCGGCCATCGCGTTCACATAATAATAAGTTGATGAGGTTAATTTTTTCCTTATCTATATGTCCTCATATTATTGATTTCAAAACATAAGGTGCGATTTTTTCATCATGACCTTGAACTAACACAGCTTCCGACGCGTCTTTTACTGAACAAATACCCAGTTAAAGGCAGGTAAATATTCATTTATTGTTTGATACTGTCAACAATTCATAGCTTTACGCCAACATCAAGTGCCTGCCTTGACTATAATGCAGTCCCAGACCCCAGCATGCTGTTTCTAGTATACTGTCAGTTGTGCTTGATTTGTTCATGTGATAACAGTTATAAGGCCTATAATGAGAATTGGAGTTCCATCTATGCCACATAATATCATAATAGAATTAGGAACGAAACTTTAAAAGAACTATATAATGAAGTCATTGCTTAATGAAGGTGAAGAATATGATGCTTGTATGCATTAGAATCAAGAATGGATCTGAACACTCTGTAATTTGTATGAAAATGCAGATTACCATCATGTGCAGTGTAAATGAATTGAGGACAATGATATAGAGAGCAGGTAGTGAGAAATGTAGTTAACATTTTATTGCAGATAGAGTCCAAGTGCATTCAGGTGTGTGTTTATCAAAAGGTTTTTATTTTTATTCATCTCTTGCTAATATATAATATAATAGTAATGATGTATACTATGATGAGCCTTTGGAGTAAATGGTCATATCCTCAATTCAAAGTATTTGTAAGACGTGGACATGATGAGTGTATTAGTAAGATGGATGTCTTTAGAGCGTTATTGTCAATAACCGTTTTGCTTTTGTACCAGAATTTTTTATTTTGGGGAAAGACGCCGAGAACGTGTTTGAAGTTTGTGAGAACAAGGTCAAGGGAAAGCTTACAGTCAACTGCCTTTAATTCGACCGCCTCCGTTCCAGAGTCAATCGGTCGAATTAACGTATAAGTCGAATTAACGGCAGACGTACTTAAGGAAAACAACGCGGGTATATAAAAAAACCGTATATAATCTAGAAAAAATTGTACTGTATAAAACACGCTAAACCCGTTAACGTACTAAAAACACACGGTGTACGCAAGCCATATTGCATTCGAGTCATACTGCACTTGCCAAATTTACCTTGCTGGCTCTTTCGAAGAGCATTATTTCAACCAGGAATAATTTCATGGATTAATTCAGAATCAATAGCTATTTTGATTTTGGCTTTCCTTCACACGATCGGGCATATTGCAAGCTTTGACAAAACCTGTAAGAATCCTCCCATCACTTTACTCCTTTCCGTTCTTCGATTGTAATCAGAATGCTTTTATTAAGCAAAGCCAATGTCATTTAAAAAAATTTGTTGGTAACATTGCCGATGTCCATTGTTACAAATCTCAGCACTTAATTTTAGTATTCGATTGCCCGACACACAATTTCTCGCGATAGACTGTTCCTCGCGCATTGGGTTTATCGATAGGATTTTTGTTGATAATAGCTCTTGTGCGTTGAGAACTTGAAAAAGATATACCGGTTCCGTTAAAGTTCTAAAAATAGAAATTTGAGTCTCATATTCTCGTGCCTGCTTACAGCATCAAAAATAAGGAAGGCAATCATTTTTCCGATAAAATTCCCAACATTACTTCGAAGCTATCCTTTTTTTTGTCGAGGAATGAACCGGAACCAAAAACCAAATGGATAGCATTGACAGTTCCATGAACAACACCACTCTGCTCAGTTTATTGGTCGAACTTTCGCTATCAATTCTCTTTCGTTTTTTAAAAAAACCTCTATTATTGTGACAATAAAAAAACCCAGTGAGGCATAAAAATTCTACGTATATAGAAATATTTATATACGAAGGATAATTAATGTAATGGCTCCACCAAATATCAAACATTATGAAATTAGTCGCAAATATGGTTGTTCCAAAATGTTTCGAAAAAAGTGCCGAATTACTTGAGGTGTTTCAAGCTCTTTCTAGATTTGAGTGAGACATATTTCAAAAGCAATGAATAGTGGAGAAATAACTGCCAGCTGACGTCCTAAAAACGGAACGTGTATTAATAAAGAAAACTTTTTACTAATACACCACATTGTGGGAAAACTTATCTCAATATGTTGGAAGTTTATTTCGAGCGTAGAAATTAAGTAGTATAATACCACGTATTTATGGTGGTGTAAAAAAGTGTGTTGCAATGAAAACCAAAAAAACTATTGATATAAACGTTGCGAAAAACTATGCCGAAATCCATGCTCCGGTAGAAATGTCAATTAATTGCCTGTATTTTTTGTATATTAATATGCAACCTTATCGTAAATAATAGCACGTTAAAATTGGTAAAATATGACGCGTTTTGCAACTATGACATTAACTGTTATGAGTAAAACTGATTTATGCGATACTTGTCAACATTCTTTCTGTTTAATTCTCCCGAGGAGAAAGAGAATTTTGTTGTAAAAATATAAAAAACATTAGGTAAAACCAAATTAGAGTAAAGCCATTACGAAATTATCAGAAGAACAAAGAAAGCTGGTATTTACACCAAGAATAAAGTTGATTGCATTGTCGATGCTGTGCGCATTACAGCTACAAAACGTTTAAATTCCCACAAGTAAATAAAATTTATTATCTTAGTCCGCTTAAGTGCATTTATTCGGTGCAAATCAATTACGTTCTCGATGCGGACAAAACTATTGACAAAGTCTTAATGGTATGCTGAGCATAATTAAGCAATTGAATAAAGATGAAAATTACTTGTAATAATGCGGTTGATCTGAATTAAAACAATACTATTTGATTTACTTATATTCAGTAATTTGCGGCTATTACAAAAGTGTTGAATTAAAATTTACAGAGAATGATAGTGGTTTGGTTATTGGTTAAGAAACTTTAAAGTGCATAGATAACGCTATTGAGTTTGTGAAAAATTGGATTAAACAAGGTCCGATGCTATGGAATGAAAAGGTTCTTAGGTTTAATTTTAAATATCAGCGTATTCTCTTTGCCTAATACTGGGTTGTCAAGCCATAATGTTGCCAATAGTGCTTCTTTTTGTACAATGTCCGCATTTGTCTGAAAGATATTACTTGTTCCAGCCAACATTGAATAACTTTATACTAAATAAAATTTTAAGGTTGCCTAGGAGATATAACAATAATTTGTTCAATAAACTTTTTTTGTCCTTGTTAAGTCAATTTTTTATTTAATTCGGGGAGTTTTTTTTTCATTATTGGTAATAAGTTTTGAGTTTTTAAATGTTCAGATATTCTTCCATAGAACCACTCGACCCATATCTGCTGAACTAATTTTATGCTTTTTATTTTGTTCTTCTTATTCTTGGTAAACTCTATAATAATTTTAATATATATATTAAGCGTCTTATAATGTTATACCAGTTTTAGTTGAATTCGGTTATATATTGCCACAAAATAGTTTATAATTTTATGCCTGCGTCACAATTATGCCAGTAAGTTTAGTACTAACTTAGCAAATCTGGTTGTTGCAGCATGCCGTTACAAATGTTACTTTGATAATATGACAAACAATAGTAATAGTAATGATAAAAAATACCTTAGAACGCCAAAAGTGGACTAGCAAAAAAAAATTCTTAAACTTATTATTTTACATTTTATATTAATATTGTAAACAAATAGTTAATCAGCAAATCATTTTTGTTTAAAGCCATTAGGCATTTTTTAGTTTTGGAATCAAATTCTCACAAAATTTGCATAATAATAATAAATTAAATAATATACAGTAAAATTTGTCTATCATTACATGCTTTGGCTGGACCATTTTGTTTAATTTTATTATTATAGGCAACAAATGCAGACGAATAAAATTTACAGAATACCAACATGTAGTAACTATTTACGTGATCAACATTAAATGGGGCATGCTGCAACAAAACCAGACAAAGTGAACATTCTTAAATAAGAGGCTGGTGTGGTTGAAAGTTAAATAACTTGACTGATGACGTTTTGAAAAGTAATAATTGGCACTCATTCATAATTTATAAACTTGTTAATTTTAATTTTTACATTATCATACCAGAATAGGATAATTATAAACCATAACAGAATTAATATATGATTATCTCTATATATAAAAATATTAATATGAAACTAATTTACAGCACCATTAGTATTTAAAAAAATTTACTTCTTTAATTTCAATCAAGGTCATCTCTTATTTTCTTTAACTTCAATTTGAGCAACAT